ATAATATAAAATGTTTCTGCCATAGCATTTTTAAATATTTTTTTTAAACAATCAAAAGGAATCTTGTCACCTAAAATCTAGGATTCGATGACACCTAGAAAAATAACTAGACTCATCTTTTTGTTTCTCCTTTTCTTTCCCTGAGTCTGGTTACTTTGTGATGCATTCATTATTATTTTGTTTGTGGTAAGCAAAAGTGTAACACACTAATTAATAATAGTAGCTTTTAGCTAAATGTCCATCAATTTGTTCTAAGTTTCATTTTGAGGAAGCTGTTTCACAGTGGTTTTAAACACTTAAAGGAAAAAAATAATTAAAGCAATTATCAAAGATTAACTTTGAGCACAGATTCATTTAGAAAGAATCCTGAATTACTCTAAACTTGATGGGAATATTAAGCACCAGTTAATGGACAGGAGGTGGCTAGATGTTGGATTTTATATGTCTGGCTTTTTTTGTTTGAGAGATTTTTTTGGAAAAAAAATACAAAAAAAAAATTCTCTTTAACATTTGCATTTCAGGAAAGTCTCAGTTAAAGTAATTGTTTTAATCTCTCCCTACCCGAAAAAAGCAGTTCTGTGAATAGGAATTGAATGATGTTTTATGATGTTAAAAAGTCTAAAGGTGGCCTATCTTGCTAGTATACTTTCTAATTTACAGATTCTTTTCCAACTATTAAAAGTGACACTTTTTGATAATGCTTTAATTACCTGAAATTCTTATCAGATTAAATAGATAATTTAATACTTTCCAGTCTTTTCTCTTGGAATTCATTGCTAGCTGGATGGGTACCTGATTCTTAACTTAACTGTGCTTGTCTTTTAAAATGTGGTAGACAAAGTCTTTTTAAAACTGGGTCAATACAGATTGATACGCTTTACCTCTTGTAGGTGTTTGGTATCATTTAAAATACGCTATTTCAACAGGCCTCCCAAATTTAGTTCAGCCAAAGTAGTATAGAGCTTAGTTTCTAGATGAAAAAGGAGTACATCTTTAGAGGTTTCTATTTTAGCTGTTTTTATAAAAAGTTTGCATCTTTACAGTTTTGCAGTTGATGCATATTGACACTTCATGTGCAATATTTAAATAGGTAAATATAAGAGTAATAATGACTTTGCAATGTCCTGTTTTCAATACAGAGGAAAATTTTTTTTATCCACTCATCTGTTCATATTCTTTATATCAGTGTGTCACGAATCACGGGTAGCGGAAGGCATGGGAAGAGTTACAAAAATACCACTGAAGAATGAAGTAGGGAAATACCAGTTTTAAGAGAATTGTTCTAAAGATTGTGGATGTAAAGTTTTGTGAAGGGGCACGGACGTGTGTTTACATTCAGTGTTCTGAGAGCTGTTTAGATATGGAAAAGGTTAATGGTTATCACCAGGAGGCTGGTAGCTTTCTGATTTTATTTATTTATTTTTAAATACCAGGAAGGAGGTACTTTCAAGGATTCTGCTTATTTTGTTTAAGGACACTGATATTTACAGTATTCTTATAGAGACCAAATAAGCTGTGAGTCAAAGAAAAATATTTATCTGGAATTAGAAAGGAACTCCTGTCATGGGTGTTCTGTTGAATGACACTTTTTGGAAATCGTGAATCTGTCTCTCAACTATGTGAAAAACAGGAAGCTTGACTGATAAGTATTAACTAGCCTGGTGATTCCTGTGTTCTTAAGGATTATAATTCAGAAATATTTAAATAAGTGGGTCAACAACAAGTGTTATTGACACAATTGCTTGATATTCTCTGGCACATCAATTCTTGTGCAAATTTGAAAAGAGACTACACCAAATTCCAGATTGTTAAATGTAGTTTTAGTTGTGTGTTGTTATAGGCTTCTTGTATACCAAGTAAGAAAGAACCTGAAAATATGTCAGATCTCTGGAATCTGGGAGCAGCAAAGAGATGGAAGATTTTTACAGCAGCGCCTTTGAGTCAAAAGCTAGGCTGTACTTCGAACGTGGATTGCTATTTTCTTTTTGACTTCAGCTGAGCTGGGATAAATCATTAATGATACTGAACTTGCAGCTGAAAAATCAGTTGACAAGGGAAGAGTCTAGAATCCAAAACAGAAGTAAGAGAAAACCACTGGGATGCCACTGGCAATGAAATTTCTGGGACACGTAGTCTGAAAAGTGATGATTTTGCCTGGAGTGTAGTGGGCTTATTTCTTGCTGTGTAGTGTCTCACATTATTGCTAAATAGATATTTTCTCTATCCAAGGAGTTACTAGTGTAAACTGAATCATAGCACAATGGGTGAATCAACAAAGTCATAGAAGCAAGCTGCTCTGGCAGAGCTGCACATGGTGAACACTACATGAGGCATCTTTGTTTTATATGCTTTTAAGCTCTTTTAATCAGGCAGTCTCCTCAGATATGTGATCATTAAAGGATATACAAAAGTTTTGCAAAAAGTATTGTCTGACATTTACTTCTTACATTCAATAGTATGAAATACGCAGTTCTCAACAGAAAAGTAGGTGGCTTGTAAAGCCTCCCCTAAATTTCTTCATTTTTTTCTAGCCTGTTTTTCAGGTTTAGATCAGAACCCTGTAGAGTGGTATAGAAGTATAGAAGCAGTGCTCTGAGAGTTATAGTGGTCAATCAACAGCTGGTTTGTGGAACAGTGTGACGACGCTGAATTTGAGAAGGTTGAGTGGTAGACTGCAAGGCATTTTTCAGTTGATACTGGTCTATGGGTTGAAAAATAAAAAAGTGAATTTGGCTATGGTGATGTCCAAAATCATCATCCTCGTTCTGTGTTGCCCTGTTTATGTGCCAACCACATGTTCTGTTGCAGAAGCCCACAGTTGCTTGTGTCATGTGGTTTCCCCATATCTTTCTCTCAAGTGTTAATCTTCCCATTACCAGTCTATTTGGACAGGCTGGTTTCTTTTGTTGTGCCACTTCTTCCCCTTCTTTGTCAATAATTACCACCCTCACTCCTCCTTTTAAGACACGTATTGCTAGGCTGTTCAAGTTCCATCCTGAGATGAGACAGAGGTTAAATGGCAGACAAACTGGACATTTAATAGTGAGTATGTAATCTGATACAGTTCACCTTGTTTATCTCTGGTATTCGACAGAATTGAGTCTGCTTGTGGCTACCAACAAAGACTAATATGTAGCACAGTAGGAAATGTTTCTTTTAACTGTAAATAAAGGCACATACATCTGATGCTTTTTGTAGGCATCTGTGGAAGTCAGGACCGAACCCTTTGGGACTCAGAAGGCAGCCCTCAGGGTCATGGATCTCACATGACCTAGTTTATTCTTCATTAAAACAGATGGTATCTATCTAAGCAAGGCAAGCTTGGTTTTAAGAGCGAGCTGGGGATTAAAAAGGATGGGAAGCTGGAACAGCTGGGCTTAATTAATGGGAGCAAATAAAGAGACAAAATGAGCATTAAATTAGTCACCTACATCAATAGCAAAATAGTCACTACATGACTACTCACTGAATTGTTTTGGCTGCTCAGAAGTTGCAGGATTGGTTTTCCTAGCATCAAAAGTATCTAAAATGGCATCAGAAACATTCCCACATTCTTTGTTCTTTTTAGCAGGCTTCAAAGAGAGTAAAATCCTGGAAGCTGGCTATGGTATTTTGGCATGGCGTTAGGGAATCCAGCTTCTTTTGTGAGGCTGAGAATGCCTTTCTTGCATCTGATACCTAGGCCGAGCTGGTCCTCTGCACTTTTTGGCCTCCTCCCTTTGTGTGTGTTCAACATGAGGTTACCTAATTGAGAAGATTGCTGGCATTCCTTCAAGTTCTTTAACCACCTTGTATTTGCAAAGGGATCAAAAATTTTTGTTTCTGTTGTAAACAGATTATACTGGATTAGTGGTTAGCATTTTGCATGCTTGTTGTTTGCCTGTATAGTCCTGAAAGTCTTGAATTGCGGTGTTGCATCTTGCAAATAGCACAGGCACTCTTTGCTTGCTTTTGTTACTGGTGGCCAGAAACCTTTATTTGCTATATGCCTTAGCAGGGAGAAGGGGACTGCACAGATAAACTGCTATTACCTGCTAATAACAACTGTTTTAATGGGGTATAATTTTCTGATGTAAGCACATTTTTTTTTCTCTGACTCAGGCAGAACGGTACATGGTCTCTGAAGATCTCTTGTTGTGCAAATAAATAATTAAATAAATGTCAGTAGAATATTGTGCAAGTCTATAAACACTGTGTTTCCTTTAATTATTACATGCAAGATGGGCAAGTACAGAATATTTCTGTTTTCAGGTAATCCTAGGGACTAAACAGTCTGCTTATCTGTCACGGACGGTCAAATTTAGCTGGTTCATATAGCTGAGCTCTGAGGTGATCAGGGAAAAAAATTGAACAGTTTTCATGGGGATTAACAGAAACTGTTCCATGAGCTTAGTGGCTCTTTCCTGGAGGGCAGGAGGCAGCAGTGCTTTTATAGAAAACTAGTAACCTTTTTCTGCTTCCAAAAACCTTCCTTCAAATTTATGGAGCTGGGCCACCATATTACATGCTGCCACTTTGCTGCTTCAATTTCTTAGTTTCTTTCCATGCATCTGAGGGGCAGAGTAAGACCTTTTTTTCATAGAACAGCTAGATTTTCTTGACTGTGCTGAACAACCATAACAGTACCTTGTTGCAGCCTCCCGCCTTGACTGTCATGTCCCATCCTGTTCCTCCCCCCACCCCCACATTTGCAAGGAAGAGAATTTTAAAAATCTTTGCAGACATGGCTAAAAGCATAAGCAGGAGATCCAGACCAAATGTTTGAAGTGAGATATTTGAACTGTAGTCAACTTTATATGCAAACTTTATCTGGTTGTCTGAACACTGGCTAAGCATAAAAAAAAGAAAGCTTAACAATTAGTCCTGTATGTGGCTATGCAAAGGCATAAATTCAACCCTATTTGCATACTTTTATACGACTTTAAGTTTCAGCAAGTTAAAGTCCATGGTTGAAAAAATACGTAGTACTTGCCATGTTTGCTCTTTGCTTCTCTTTGCAGTGAGAGGAGTTTGACTGAACAGCTTAAACGGTGTAAGTAATTTCTATAGCATCACTTTTTTTAGGGCTTTAGGAGAGCATATTGCTGGTGAGAAGGGCTGGAAGGGTAGTGGTTGTGTGTCTGGGTACAGTCACTGCCAACTGATGCAGGCCTAATGGAATTTCTGAGAAGACTTGAATGGGAGAAAATTCATGCTATGAGAAGAGATGTCTGAAAACAAAAGTCAGATGCCTGCTTGGTCTGCATTGCCTTCTTGATTTCCATAGTTGTTTGAAACTGTACTAAAAATGTTTGAAAAAAGACTGCCTGCAATCAGTTCAACAACAAAACTGGTGAGGGAGGTTGTATGTTCTCGCCTGTCTGTGTGGTCTTCTGGTTTTCCCGGAGGCTGTCTAGATTAGATGCTTGCCACTATTCTGGAACAGCCTGCCAGGCTTTGCTGCTCCTGGCAGAGACGTTTTTAAAGAGGCCGTGTTTCCAAAGGTAGAACTATTGCTAAATAAGTCCCTGACAGGTCTTCCTTTGGAAATGGATGGAACTTGTGATCACTATGATTATTACTGTTATCATTTCTTCGCAGCACCATGTGTAAAGTTACACCAATAGCATAATGAAAAATTAAAGCATTCGAAAATAAAAATTTATAGGACAAGTCATGAAACATGAAATCAGTAAAGACCTAGGAAAAATTAGGTGTAGTTCACTTATGACTTCTGTGTTGAATATGTCCATGGAAGCACTTTGTTCATTCAAGTATTAAAATGCATATAAAACCAGGGGTTGGTACTGCTAATTTCCCCAAGTCCACATTTGGAAGTCTTAAAAATGTAAGATGATTTTTAGTTTGTGTGCAGTACAACTGTAGTTATTCTTGACAGTCTTTTTCCAGATACTCAGAACTTAAATTTCAGCTCCTAATTCTGAAATAACCAAAGTTAATTTTTTGTATATGCATTCAGTAAAGATGTAAATAATTGGTATTTTAAGTAGCTTGAACAGATAGCTCTGGTTGGAAGCTTTTGGGCCTTTTATTAATGTGTGGGTTTTTTACTGCAGAAACCGATCCCCATGAAAATAAGGTTGTTTAGAGGTAGAGTCATGTATTGTGGCTGCATTGTTAAAGGATTTAATTTCATGATAAATTTTCCCTGGTGACCTGGTGGCTTACTTCACTATAACAGCAGACTTTATCTGAGACCTGTTTACAGTTTCCATGGTTAAAGAACTGTAACTCAGGACAGGTGGGAGTGTAGAACTACTTTGACAGAATCTTTTGTGCTTGGACAACTGTAATCCTTAGTGGGTTTGTGTAGTGAGAAGTTTTATCTTGAAAGCTAGTTTTGAAAGCTGTACTGGTAACAGAGTTGCAAGTTCCATAAAACTGGGTTGCTGAAGTTGTTAGTTTCTTGTTTGTAATAAGAGTATTTTGTTTCATTTTTCAGTGAATGCCTTACTCTTAAACAATATTACAAGTGACTGGAAAGAATAACTGTTAAATAAAATATAAAAGTTTTAAGAATAAACATACAAAAAAGAACTAATCCTTTTTTAATAGAAATTCTCAAGTTTCTTGAACCTACTAGAGGCAAAAATTCCCTTGTTTTTTTGCCCCTCCCCAAGTAATGCAGTTTTGGAAGTTCATTTTTGGTGTCTCCTGCCTGCCTCTCTCAAAAATCCATTTCTTTTCACATAATACTCATCTCCCTGCATCCACTGCACAGCAAATTGTCTTGTAGTATGTAGATTTATCATAACCAGTCAGCACAATCTGAGATCAATTTACATGCCAGTTAATAATACTGAAACAAGTCCGTGGGTTGCCTTCTTAGGGTATGTGCAAAGAAGGGGATAATTACGAGCTAAAGTATAAGATTTTGACTTTTTTGGAAGGCGCTTCTCAACAAGAGAGTGACCTTTCACAAGTTAGGCAATTGATTTGAACACCAAGCATCCTTTATAGTGGCACATTTTTCTGTCAGAAAATAGGATTAAAAATACCTGTTGTGCTGTTCCAGTGGAACCTGCATGGCATTGTTTGAGTGAAAAAACAATGAGCAACCGCCCAACAAGCTGAAATGTGTGTTCATCTTCAAATGTGTAACACTGTGCCACAGTACAAATAGCAATGTGGTTAAATGTGCTAGTTTTAACTTCTGTTTCAAAGTAAAAGGAATACTGAGTTCAGTTATGTATAATTGTCTTGAGTGCAGTGCTCTTAAAAGGAACTTTAATGACTACTGTATGAATAGAGAAATGCATAATACAGTATTTAAAAGACGATATGTTTTTATTTTCCTTTTACATTTTTACGAGTGAATTGAAAAAGGAATACATTAACTACCAAAAAAGGGTTCCTGAAATCTACTGTTTCCATATAATACAATGATGCAGTGCTATATGCAGATTTTTTAAATTTGTTTTTAGAAGGGTCAGTAAATTTTAAGTATTTTTTCCCTTTGCTCCCTAATCCTACTGAATCACTTCACCTCCCTGTGCACATTTAAGGGAATAATACCCTCACCTGAATAATTGCAGACAGCTGTTCTCAATCACTGAACCTTGGTAGATGAATGTTTTGAATTTTTTTATTGTTGTCATGATTTTTGCATATTCTGTAGTCTCTCTGTTATGAGTTCCTACATTTGAAACCCTGATTGATTTTTAGCTACCTTGTTTTAATAAATAATATTGAGAGTTAAGTAGTTTTTTGTGTTCAGGGATTATTAAATCCATTACAACTGAACGTTACATTCTTGGTGAGTGATTTTTTTTTTTTCTTTTATGCCACACACTGTGGATATAATAAGCTGAATGCTACTTTTGAGTTTAACACGCTTCTCCCCACCTGATCTAAATAAAAACTGGTCTATGATATTTAAGAGTGTTTCCCAGCCTTTCTTCTGCACTTGAGAACAGTTTTGCTTGTTTCATTTGTATTGGTTGCATTTGAATCTTATGTATTACATACTTCTTTTTTAATATATCTCCTTTACCCTTTCTCAGGACCACTTCTCTTCTTTGCAAGAAATGCTTCCTGTATCTATCCAAACAGTGGCAGTATCACAATACTGATATTTTTATTAAATCATTATTACTAAAAACAGAGAAATACCAAGAAAAAAATTGTGTGAAAACAGGTAAATAATGTAATATTGATATATTGATGAGGGGAAAAAAAAAACCCAAAACAACCAGGACTTGAATCCAGTGGGTTTTAATTTAGTAAATTTATTTTTGCTTTTTTTCTTTTTATCGATAAGTTGATGTTTCTTCTTCGACTTTTCAGGCACAGGTACCTTTGGACGTGTTCATCTGGTGAAGGAAAAAATGGGCAAACGTTACTTTGCACTGAAAGTAATGAGCATTCCTGATGTCATTCGACTGAAGCAAGAGCAACATGTGCACAATGAAAAGTCAGTCTTGAAAGAAGTCAACCACCCCTTTTTGATCAGATTGTAAGTTGTTGTATTTTTTTAGTTCATTTCACTTATATATAAAGTGCAGTTAGTGTTCCGGAGTCTCTTTGCAAGTATTTATGTACTTAACTAACACCAAGCATTTAATTTGTTACGTAATCTAGACTAAAATAGACTTCAGACTAGAATATTTGTTATAGAAGAATCGAGAATTTAAAATTAATGCATAATTTAGACATTTAAGCAATAATTTATTACAAACTTTACTCTGTCTCTTTTTTCATACTGCAGAAGAGAAATTTTCTGAAGTGGGGGGGAAATACTAATGAAGAAATGTTAGAATTTGTTCTTCAGAATTACTTCTAGAATAATTCTTGATGTTAGAATGGTGAGATTAGTATTTCTACATACATATTTCCTGTAGATATCTAGATAAAGATAGGATTAGATTCAGGTATCTGCTTTTTCAAAACTTCTGTGAACTTTACTTTTGCAAACTTTGTTTTTAAAGAGTTCAAATGACTGCAGCACTTCTTGGGATCTGTTATTCCGAATTTGAGGTTAAGTGATGGAACCTATTGAGAAACATGATTTAAACACAGCTTGTGAAGAATACTTTCTTTAGTTCAATTGTGATGATTCTCATGATCCCAGTGATCCCATTATTAAGGAGAGAAGGCATCATACTTTCCTGTTCACAGCACCACAGTGCCTTTTGTGTATCTGAGTCCATGTCTATTAAAGGGATAACTGAACTTCTGGATAATTGCACAGTTAAATTTTCTCATGCGTGGATACAGGGCCATTGACCAAGATTTGTTTTGCACCTACCTGCCTTAATCAGTTTTACATGAAGTTAGACAAAATTAGCCTCAGTTAATCTCTAGTTACAAGGAGTGCAGCCTCCTCCCAGGACTAAGTAAGTATCAGAGAGAAAAGAGGCAAAAGTATGGTAGTCATCCAAAAGATGGAAAGAGCCCTGCAGGAGGAGGCTTTTTCCCTGGTGTTCATTGATGCTATTAGTTTCCAGCCAGTATTCAGAAACCCTGTGTGTGGCATAGTATCAGTAAGATGAGTTCTATGGTATATGGAGTTTGAGATGCATGCAGGAAGGCAAGATGGAGAGGCTAAGTACATCTGGTTAGACTGGTTAAAATATGAACAGAACAGGGGGAACAGGGTTTCATATGTATATCTATGTGTATTTGTAAATTCTTTAAAAAAAAAAAAAAAAGAAAAAAAGAAAAACACTAGCAAAACAACCAAACAAACCCAGTATATCTGTGCATCTGGAACCGTGCAGCAAGTGCAGGAATAGAGAAACTTGGGTGAGAAGTCAGGGACAGGGATGTGAAGGTTTACGTCCATACACAAGTTATTAAAAATCCAAACTGGTAAGTTTTCTTGGATTTTCTTCATGCCTTAATTCAAAAATGTCAGATTTTTAAAATCGGCAAAAGAAGGACACAATTCAAATGGAAGTTCGCTTATGTGCAAGGCAAACATTCTTCATGTCTTCTAGGTTTCTGCCTTTTCTGTTGACATGTTCGATGAGAGCTATGCTTGTGTAATTGTCCAAGTGCTGCCTTTGTCCCTTGGCAAAGGAGACTTAAAGCAACCTAGCTGAAATGAGATTAGTTAAATTCTAAGTTGTGTTAATATTTCTGTGCTTAAGGTTAAGCAAGCATTCATGGACAATTGTCACTGACTGTATGACAAATAACACTTTCTGCAGCTTTTTGTGCAGATAACAGATTTTTTTCAGCTGCCTCCTCCCCCAGTACATGTGTTTTTCCCATGAATTCTTTGACTGTAACTGATCAGCAAAAAGGGGAAAAATTTTTCTATATAGTTCTGCTTCAATGCCTTTGAACTGTGTTATTCACATGGTCCATTTTTTATATTTTCAATTGCTGTCACCAGCTTAAACATGGATAGTATCTTCCTCTGGTTGCAAAACAAGGAGCATGTGCCAGTGCTCCATAATATGGTATTTTTTTAGCACTTTCTGATGGAGAATTTTAAAGTAATGCTGCACGTAATTTATTTCTGGTGTTCATCCTTCCTGTATACTCCTGTTAAATAAGATTACACTCCCAGCCCACCCCCCCACCCCCCA